CAGTCATAGAATAGCCCTTGCTTTCTAACAGCATCCAACCTAGAGCAAAGCCAGACTTTGCTTCCCCGTAGTCTCTCCCCAAATCACCAAGAAAGAGCCCCAATCCCAGAATAAATCCTTTGCAACATCCTCTTACTGAGCTGCTCCTCTGTTCCCTCTGGTGTGTGTTCTGCCTCGTTGTAATGAGTCAGTAAACCCGTCCTGGCTCAACTACAGGTGCGTCCTCCGTAGTCTTTGGCTGGAGGGCACTGATACTATAGTCTCAAGCAGTTCTTACGCGAGCCCCTTGCCTTCTTCTTAGTTCCTGACCTCCATTTCTACCCACAGGCAGCCAAAGTGTAGTGTTCAAGAGGAAGGACTCTGGAACCCGGCTGCCCGGGTTCAAATCCTGACTCTGTCACTTACTGGCTATATTACTTTGGGCACATTGCTTAACCTCTTTGTCTCAGTTAACTGATACGTAAAGTGGGGATGATTATGATAACAATAGTACTTAGCTCGCAGGGCTGCTGTGAGGATTAGGTGAGTTTATACATGTGAACTGCTTAAATAGTGCCTTGTACGTAGTGTTTGTTGTTAATATTATTAATTCAGCAAACATTTGTGGAGTGCCTAGGTGCAGTGCTAGACCCTGGGGATAAAAACTTGTTCTCTCTCCCAGAAAGCACAGTTTTGTCAGGGAGATACAAGGAAACAGTTTCACCCCATGCAGAAGAGCTAACATAGGGGTAAACCCAGAGAAACACGTGGCAGAGCCACTCAACCTTGGCCTGGGAAGTCAAGGAGATCTTCCTGGTTGAGGTGGCATCTGAGTAGTTCCTGACGAATGAGTGACAGTAGACAGGGCTGGGCCGGGTGTGGGAGGGCAGAGAGTGGGGTGTGGGCAGAAAGGCCGCCAAGCTCTCAAAGCCTTTTCATCTACAGTAAGGGGCACTACTTAGACATCTTTCTGCCTCCCACAAGGCCTGGCCCAGTGCCTGGCAAAGCACATACTCAAACAAATAAATGGCTAAAACCAAATCTGGTGACTTTCCTCATAAACTAGTGCCTCCTTTGACTTTTCTATCTCATGCTCTGACCACATTGCCTGGGTCCCCTACAACTTCAAAATCATCCTTGATTCTCCTCCTCTTTCCCTCCTGTATGGCAATGGTCTCCAGTTTCTTTCTCCCTAGTACCATTTGCATCAGTCCCTGCTTTCCAGTCCTTGCTGCTCCTGCGCAGAACAGGCCCTGACGTACCGACTCCACTTCTGTGCAGGCTCCCCATTCTCCAGGCCCATCCTCGCTGCACCCTTTCTGCACACAGTGCTCTCTCAGCACCACTTTGATCATGTCAGTCTTTTACTGTGCACCTGCTGTGGCTCCCTACTGCTTTCTGCATCAAGCCCAAACCCTTTGGTGGGGCATCCAAAACTGCACAATCTTGCCCCAAACTAGCTTTCCTGCCTCTCTACCTTCCCCTCTTCCTCCCCAGTGTTCTTTCCTGCTAGATCACCACCTTGAACCTTCTCACTTCTGTGCTGTATTTGACATATTTTGGAGTGTCTGCTGCCCTTGCCTCCTCTGGAGAATCTCTTTCCACAGCCTCTGTTGAGCCGACAACAGTCCCTGAGATCCTGCTGAAGACTGGGCCTGAGCCTGGGCATGGGCGGGCTCTGAACAGCCATCCCAGTGACCTGTCACCTAGCTGGACAATCAGAGTCTCTGTTATGGATATTTGAAATAAGAGCTACAAAGGACTGTTCCCGACAACACAGATGCTAGTAGTAAAAGAGCTGAGGCAAGGCTGGATCCGCTGTCATGGGGGGACAGGGAAGAGTGAAGGAGACACAAAAGAAGATTGAATGGAACAGAGGCACAAAAAAACGTATAGAAGAGGAGATGGGGAGACGGGCGGGGTGGAGGGGGAGAGAAGTACCAGGAGAGTGTCATGTCCCGGTTGATGTCTGGGTTCCAGCTCTTTCTGAAATTTGTTAGCTTTATGATAAATCTCCCTATCCCCTGTGCCAGTGTGAGTGGACTTCTGCTTCTTACAGTCAAAGTAGCTCCGAACAGAACACTGTCCCTTTCCCTGGGAGGGCTTCCTTCCATCACCCCCCCCCATCCCAAGGCCTAGCTTAAGTACTCATGACTTCCCCACATAGTTGGTCTGGAAGACTTTCTGTCTGAATCTTCCCTAGTCTTCCAGAATTAGCACAATTGCTGACTTTTCCAGGAAGAGTCCCATGTCCATACCAGCTGGTGGTCACCTATTGCTCTTGCTTCTCTGAATTCCTTCAGTCCCTTGTTAACTTAAATGTCCTGAAGCAGATGCTGCTTTGGTGTTGAGGTGCTGGATTTGTGGAAATGTTTGTGACCAAGCCAATTACCAAGCATCGGATAGGCCAACCATTTTCAAGGGTATCTGTGGTTGTTTCAGTGGCTGGGATGGGTGGCACCACTGACTTTGTTGAGCTGGGTCAGGGGTGAAAGATGTCTTACAAAGGGTGGGACAGAATTATACATCATACAGAATTGTCCCCGTCTTATATGACTTTGAAATGTCCCGTGGAATATTCATACCTGTATATAATCATCTTGTCCTAAAACCAAATTCTCTTTTACACAAATATTTTTTTGCACTGTTATGAACTGATTTTTCTGAGACTACAACTACTGAGTGATGATTGTGCTTTGTCTGGTTTGGAATTTTACCCAGTGTTGTTTAATCATTTCAGAAAATCACTTCACATGGTGGACATATCCCTTGTAACATTTGAGTTTCTGATTCCACAACCTGTATTTGTAGCTGTTACATTCACTGTGTTTTCGCATATAGGGGCAAGCATCTAACTACAGCATCATGTATTCTGATGTGGTTGTGCCTGCCCACTTATAATAAAAATATACATTTTTACATCATAAATCATTTTCTTATATTTCTCCTTTATAGCAGATTCAGAGAATTATATTGATTTTTTAAATTGTATGTTGGTATGTTGTACTACTTATGAATTTCATTTCAGGATAATAAAGGTGTCTTTACAAAATATTTCTCACAAAAGGAAGCACTGGGTCTAAGAGGGCTGAGGACGATTGGCACAGGCTAGTGGCACGAATGCTCCTCCGTCAAGGAGGAAAGGGTGTGTTTGTGCACGAGCAACCATTCCTGAGGTGCTGGAGCTCACGCAAGTAGCTCCCACAGTGTGGCAACTTCTGAGAGCACCCAGCACTTGCCTGATGCCTGAGGCAGGTCCTGGAACACAGGGTGGAAACAGCAGGCAGACACTGGCTGCTGGGAGATCAGACTGAAAACTGGGATCCAGGCTATGTTGCCTGTGAGGGGTGACCTGTGGCGGTGTTCTGTGAGGTCAGAGGCCCTGCATATATGGTGGAGGTGAGGCTACTGTCATGAGACCAAAACTCGGAGCTGAAAAATTATAGCTTTTGGTGATCATATATACTGCTGCTACAAACATTCTCCTGCATGTGTTTCGGAGAAAATACACCCACTTGTCTGCTGGTAAATACTTAAGATTGAAATTGTTAGGCTATGGTGTATGTCTGTGTTTAGCTTTAAAATAAACTATCAAGAAATTTTCCAAGAGGTTGCACCAAGTTACACTCCCACCAGCCAAGGTATGATAATTCCTGTTGTTTCACATCTTTGCCATGTTAGTTATTTTCTATCCTTTTCATTTTAGCCATTCTGGTGGGTGTGTGGTGGTATCAACCCAATGAACGCCATCAACGTTCAGCAGAATGGACAAGTAGATTATGGTACAGTCACATGACAGAACTCTACTCAGCAGTAACAACTACAAACAGCCTGGACCAATCCCACAAACACATGTTGAGCAAGAGAAGCCAAACAAAAGAATTCATATTGTATGATTCTACTTATATAGAGTTCAAAATTAGGCCAAAAAAATCCTGGGATGAGAATTCAGGATGGGGTGGGGAGTGCAGAGACTGGAGCCTCAAGGGGCTTCTGGGTGCTGGGGAGTTCAGTTTCTTGATCTGGGTGCTGGTTTCTACGGCATGTTCGCTTTGTAGAAATCTATCAGGCTGTAATTTAGGAAGTGCGTACTTTTTGTAAGGCAAACTTCAACATTTAGCATTTACCACATTGACACAGGCGAGGTTCCACGTGAAAATAAAACTCTAAAGGTTAGGGCCCTCTCTTCCTCTCCTCACATTTGGGATTAGGTCGCGCACAGACTGAGACATGAAACTGACTCAGGTGGGACAGGTGGCACTCGAACGTGTGTGTACAGCGTGGCGTCAATACACGTGTTTTAAATCACGGGTCTGGGCTCCGTTAATGGATGAAGGAGGCCCTGGCGGCCTCCCTATCTAGACAATTTTGAGTACAGTATCAAAGTGATTAACGCACACTCCCTTCTCCCCGACTAATGGGGGCACACTATGCGTCTGTGTGACCTCGGCATTCCCTGCCACCTCTACCAAGTAACAAGTCAGTCTCTGAAGAAGAAGCGGTCATAGCCTCTGCACCATCTAGGAACCATCCTAATTTGGCAAAGGCAAGGGGAGGGTCCAGCAGCAGACAGATGTCCGCTCACATCTGACGGCCAGGACACCAGCTGGGAGGTGCCGGCTGGCGCGGGTGTCCCCGGGACCGGCGGGGAGGCGGAGGCCCCTCGCGGAGCCCAGGCTGACGAGCGCGGTTCTCTCCGCACAGCCCTGCCCGGCCCGGCCCCGAAGCGGCCCTGCTGCCCGCCCACGCCGCCGCCGCCGCCGCTTTGCCCACCGCCCCTCTTCCGCGCCGGCCGCAGCCCGGTGAGTACCGCAGGCTTCCTGCGAGGGCGCATGCGCGGGCTTCTCGGCCCCGCCCCCTCCGACGCCGCTGAGGGCCCGTCAGTCACTCACGCGGGGGTGGAGCCCTGCACGGACGTTCTGCGTCACTGGGGCGCGTCCGTGCCCCGCGGCTTCCCGGTGACGGCGGGAGTTTCCCCCCAGCAGGGAACTGGATTGAGCAAAGCGCCCCCTGTTCTCACAAACAAGGAGGTCGATGATTTATAATTATTTATAATTTATACTTTCTGGGTGCTCCTCAGCTACTCAGATATGGAATGTCACCTTTGGTTTCTCTTCTCCCCAAGTATTTACGAAATTCCCTTCGACAGCCCATGTCTAACGTAGACCATTTCCATGAAGGGACCGAGAAACAGGCCTCCTGCAGCCACACTGAGGTGTGAGGGGGAAAAGGTGAGGGAAAGAAGGGATTCGGGAGGCTGTCCTGGAGGACGACAGGCCGGAGCACTATAGGGACTTGGGAGTTTTAGATCTTTCTGGAAGCTCTTAGAACTGCACTGTCCAATCCACTAGCTACTAGCCACACATGGCTATCGAGCACTTTTAATGTGGCCAGTTCAAGTTGAAATGTGCTGGAAGTGTAAAAAAGACATCGGATTTTGAAGATTTAATATGAAAAAAAGAATGTAAAATATCTCAGTCATTTTTATATTGAATACATGTTAAATTGATAATATTTGAGGTATGTTGGATTAAATAAAATATATTAGTAAAATTAATTTCACTCGTTTCTTTTGGCCATTTTAAAAGGTAAAAATTTGGCTACTAGAAAATTTAAAACTGCAATGTGGCCGTCATTGGTGACATGCCTTATATTTCTATTGGACAGTGCTGTCCTACAAATTGGATAAAGGCTCTTGAAATGAGCTTCCCAACTCCATCCAAAGTGGCCATTGTATCTCTGTAATCTATTCAAGCCAGACACATTTCAAGAGCAAATGAGAGAATAGAAACTGTTCGCCCAAAAGGTCATCTTCCTGGGACACTCACTGGGGTGTCAGGGACCTCCAGTCTTGGGGACCTGCCCGTGGAGCAGGTCTGTATTCAGGGTGGCGACCCTTCCTCTGTCCCCAAGGTCTGACCTATAATGCTGTGTTGCTTTGCACTGAAGCTTCTCTCCCCAGACATGAAGAATCTCATTCTGGAACTCGAGACATCGCAGTCCCCATGCATGAAAGGCTCGCTTGGCTCCCCTGGGCCGCCTGGCCCCCAGGTTAGTGCACTCTACCAAGCCCCTCTTGCTGTCTTCTGTTTAGAGCAGGGATGTCCACTGGGCAGACCCTCTTAGTGTCTGCCCCTTTTAATGCAATGTGGGGCTATTTTTTCCTTCTCTAGCTTGCCTCCCTTCAGAGCCACATGGATAGAACACTGGTTCTCCTCTGAGTGAATTCTGGCCACTCAGCCTTGATTTCCTCATCACGGGGATTTTAATTCCCCATGCCACACTGGGTGTTGGGGGGATCAGATGAGATGTTGTCTATATGGATGTGGTTATTACAACAGTTATCATCAAACATTTGATGACAGTGCCCCTTATGTGAGCACTGACCCCAACTGTAAACCCAGAGGTGCCTGCATTTAGTGCAGGAAGGTCGAAGGAAAGAGGAACTTGTTACCCTGAGCTTCACTGGGCCCCCAGATATTGCTACCAAGCAGCCCACCCCTCTCCACCAAAGCTAAAGGGAAGAGTGAGGAACAGGCAAAATGCTAGAGAAGCGACTTCCTGGACAAACAAAAGAGTACCGTCCAGGAGTCCCATCTCATAGCCTCCCAGCTCCTCTGGCTGCCTCAGAGGGAGCTCCATCAGTGGGCTGGGGCTCCGGGCCTCCCATGGGGAGGAGAAGGAGAAGGGTAAGGAGCAGTTCCCCAAGTGCCTTCTCATGCAGAGGCATAGAAATTGTGACCCTCTCCAGGGCAAGCCCTTCTGTGGCTTCCCATTACTGGAAGACCAAGAGCCAAACGCCTGACCTGGGATTGCAGGGCCCCCCAGAAGTCGACCTGCATCTGCTACATCTTGACTCAGCCACAGTGACCATCTTTGGGATCCTCAAACACTTCAAACTTGCTTTAGCCTTCGGGCCTTTGCACTTGCGGTTCCTGCTGTTTGGGATGTTCTTCCCTCTGATTTTTATCATGGCCAGCTCCTTCTGATCACTCAGAATTCAGTTTACATGCCACCTCCTGAGAAATGTCTTCTTCAGCCACCACTACCACCACCAGTGCTGTCTGTCACAACGACCTATTTTAATTCTCTGCATAATTTTCTCATCCTGTTTTTGTTCTTGTTCTGTTTGGTCTCCCCTCTGTAAAATGTAAGCTCTATGGCAGGGGTTGGCAAACCACGCCTGTGGATCAAATCCCACAACAGCCCATTTTCTGTAACTAGCATTTCATTGTCTGTGGCTGCTTTTGCATTAAAAGGGCAGAGTTGAGTAGTTGTGACAGAGACAAAATATGGCCTCTGCAAAGCCTGAGTTATTTACTATCCGGCCCCTTATAGAAAAAGTTTACCAACCCTTGGGGACAGGGACATTGTCCATCTGGCTCACTGTTGCATTCCCAGGCTACAACACTGCATGGGTTGTAGTAGGTTCTCCATAAATATTTGTTGAATGCAATAAATAAAACAACCTCGAACCCACAGCTGGCCAGAGGCTGCCACAGAAAGCTGGGAAGTCTGCAGAAAGTCAAGCTGGAAATCCTCTAAGGTGGATTTCTACCTTCCCACCACCAGCAGTCTATCCTGACAGGTCTCAGACACATGAGAACCCATGGAGCATGGGAAAGAATGGGGTACTCTGCTGACCTCAGAACAGCAGATCTCCAGTCAGATTTGCACATCTCTGACCTCATGCAATCCCATTCGAGTCATATGGAGGCTGTGCTGCCCAACTGTGGTGGTCTGTGCAGCCACTTCAGCTGCCTCAGAGCACAGTGTGAATGCTGGCCCTACTCAAAGTGAGATCTGTGGACCAGCAACATTGGCATCATATGGGAGCTGGTTAGAAATGCAAAATCTCATCCCCATCCAAGCCCATTCAACGAGAATTTTCCATTTTAACAATACATTGCCCCTCCACCAAGTGAATCTAGTGACTCATCTGCACATTGAAGTTTGAGAAGCACTGAGCCAGAGTAAAATAGTTCTCATAAAATAGTTCTAGTCCATTTCAAGAAATGAAAAAGCTAAGGCTTGAGGGAATGAAAAGAATGGAATGAAAACTCTCTCTCCTTCCCTTTCTGGCACAGAAGGTGCATAAACCAAAGACTGTGGTTTTCAAACCTGTCTGCACGTTACAACCCCCTGGGAAGCCTCAAAAATTACGCATGCTTGTGCCTCTTCCGGAGACTGTTATTTAATTGGTGTGGGGTATGGCCTGAGCTTTGGGATTTTTCAGAGATCCCCAGGGGATTGTAATGTGCTGATAGGTTTGGGAACCACTGGGTGAGGGGGCTGTGTGTTATTGGGACAAATCTTGTAGAAATCATATCTAAAACAGGCTTTGCACTATGCGTGCTCACCTGTGCATCTAGGGGATGCAGCAAGGGCCTGGGGGAGTTTGATGGATTTCCTCTCTGCTGTCCCCGGGGAATTTGGAAAACAGTTACCGACTGAGCATTACCCAAACTTGTGAGCAGTCAGCAGCTGTGTTCTGGCTGTGGATGTGCAAAGCTTTGGTGCAATGGGCTCTAGAGTCCCTGAGCTGAGCCGCCCCACTCCTGTGGCAATGGGACAAAAAGGTACTGTTTACTTGCCTACCTTGTTAATATCTTACTTAAGAAAGCAGACTTTTGCTGCTGAAGGAGAGAAGGGGGAATTATTTGGCACTTGATCCTCACAGATCAACCATGGGAATTTCTAAGTCGGCTGCTGCTGTGTGCAAAACTTAACTTCCATCTCATCAGGTCTCTGGGGAAGAGTAAGAGTAGGAGAAGCTGAAAAGATATGAAAGGTGGTAAAGCAGCTTGTTTTCAGCAAATGGGGTTTCTTCAAGACTCTTTAGTTGCTCTCACCAAGCACTCAGGATGTTTTAGGCAACCAGAATACTCCAGGGAGAAAATTAAAATCACAGAGAGTCCATGTGTAAGCATTGCAATCATGGTGCCACTGGGAACACAGCTCAGAAAAAGCTAATGAGGAGAGAGAATGGAGAGGAGGGAACTGGGCTGGAGGGCTCGAGAGGGCCCTCCATGGGGCCCTGGAGCCTGGCATCTGCACAGAGAACAGGCTGCTGACGTAGGAGCCCAGTGCACCAAGATCCTCCCAGTCCTGCCTTGGTTTAATATATACTTTCTTCACTTCTTATCTTGATTGTTTAGGGTCCACCAGGGCTTCCTGGCAAGACAGGACCAAAGGGAGAAAAGGTAGGAGCCACCACTTTCCTCACCCCACCTCTCCTTGGTGATTCTGGCCTGCTTTCTGGGGGTGCCACTGAGAATTTTCCGGTTGAGATTTCAAACATGTGCTGATTCTGCCTTAGTGCATGAGGATGGGCTCCAGGATGACTGAGCTGCTGCTGCAAATGTGGGATGCCACTGGCTGTTGTGACTTGGCCCACTGATGTGGCAGGGGTGCTGTGATCAGCCAGGCAACTGAGCCATGTGGTCATGCCCAGTCTTCAGCCCTACTAAGCCCTCTGCTTCCAGAACTTCTCTTCGAAAGCAGTCTCTCCTTATGTGTGTTCTCCATCCACAGGGGGAGCTTGGCCGACCAGGAAGGAAGGTATGGTCCATGCTGTTCTGTTAGCATCACACAGGCAACTGTACTCCACATGTGTGTGAGTATGTGTGCACTCCTAGGGGCGGGGGCCCAGCAATCACTTCAGGGGCCACCAATGCCCAGATGGACAGTGATGGTGCTGCCATCCCAATGATGACAGCAGTAACCTTGCCCTTTATGCCAATTCCTTTGGCCAGGAGCTGGAGTGTGCTACTGCCAGGCATTCAGACTTCTCCCAGGGGCCAAATTTCCCCCAGCCTCAGACCATCTCAGCCTGCCACCCATCAGAGAAACCCTCCAAGGCCCCAACCAATGACACAAAATGGCTCTAACTGTCAATTTGATTAAACTGAAATAAAGTGCCAGAGCAGACAGAAACAAATGGCTTTTGCTTTTTGGCTCAGCTGAAATAAACAGGAGTTACTTAAGGTCACAGTAACTCTGAGTGAACAAAACGCATGTTGTCAAGACTCTCATTAGTGTCAAAAGGGAGTAAACCAGCAGCCTGTTTTACATGCTGTGGTCAGTGGATACTGGCACTGAATTTCTAGGTCTTGGTGATAGAAGGAGGTAAAAAACTTTGGCCAAGAAAGATGTCCAGGGCTCTGAATATAAATTACCATAATTCTGGTTAGATGTTTTATTCAAATGGTTTCACTGTTGACAAAAGCCTTAAATGAGTCTTTGCAAGGCAAACTTACAACACTTTAAGGCACAGATGACAACTCCAGCCAAGGCACAGCTGCTGTCTGGCATGTCCAGCTGGAAAGGATCCTGGAGTTGTCTCCATGCTCATACCTAACAAGGGCCATGACTGATTAGTGATGTCTACCAAGGATGTGGAGACAAGAGTAGAAACCAGTAACCATGCCAGCATTTGGCTTCTCTAGTTTAGGGGCTAAGCCCTTCACATCTCCAGCTAACTGTGAAATTAGCCAATGCATGCAGAGGTTAAAATAGACCCTTAGTCCCTGCTCCCACTCTCTTTTGCAGAGCTTGCTCTTCCATAGCCCCTGGCTTAGGTTGGGTTCCCTAGAAGCAAAGACAGAGATGGCATGTACAAGTGAATAAGTTATTGAGGGGGTACTGTCAGCAGGAGCCCATAGGGGAGTGGGAGAGGCTAGGCAAGTGTGGTATCAGGTGAAGTCCAGCCTCAGCAGCCTGATCCCTAGGGAGTTCGGGGGTGTGACTAGCCCCACAGTTTGTCCTGCCTTGAAGTAAGGGAGCTGCAGGAAGGGAAGGTCCATAAGTTACTGGAATGAGTTGTAGCACAGGGGGATGGGTGTCCTGAGCAGGTGAAAAAGATCCTGAGGGAGTACCAGCAGCATCTGCCGCTGCTCCCCAAACATAATCCTGTCTCATTCCACAGCACATCCTTGGGGAGAACCCACTAGAATGAAGGGGACGCTTGGCTGGGCAGATGTGTGGAGGTGATAGAGATCGAAAGCTCAAGAAGTGTAGAATCCCTTTCCCACCACCCTCTGTTTCTTGAGGAGAATAAGATCTTGTTTGGTGATGCAATGTGACACTAAGGGCTTTAACTTACACCTAAGTGACCCAAGTATTTAGGCTGTCAGTCTTTGTAGGGTGTGGATGAGGGTCCTGGGGGCGGTGCTTAGAGGCTCTGCACTCCCCTCTGGGCCCCAGAAATAAATATTATTTCTTGGAAGTAGGGAAACAAACCCAGTTGTCCTGACTTTTGTTCTTGGTCTTTGAAGGGCAGACCTGGTCCCCCAGGTGTTCCTGGCATGCCTGGGCCTGTTGGCTGGCCAGGACTTGAAGGACCCAGGGTAAGTGTGGTATACTCCTGGGGCTCATGTGGTATCAGAACAGGGGGGAAGATGGCAGCTGCCCTGGCCCCTGGCATAAAGTCAGTGAGTCACTTACTCAAGAGGCAGAAGAAGAGGAGAGCTGGAGAACTGTCCACAGGTCCCCAGGCACTTTCTTCTTCCCTTGGACTGCAAGACGTTGGTCCCTACAGCAGCTCTGCTCCTGAGGGAGGAGAAATGGGGTCTTCTCCCCTCTTTTCCGGGGTCCTGGTTCTCCTTTGTCCTGAGAACTAGCACCCTATTCTTTGATTTCCCTGAGATGACCTAAGAAAGGCTTGTGTCTGAGAAGCTGTCTGATTTGGCAGGGGGTAGTCATACTACCCAGTCTCATTGGTGGTCATAGACTGAAGGGTGCAGGGACCGTGACTCAGGAATGTTAACTGAGGAAGGCAGGGGAGGGCACGTGAATGTCCCATCTGCTCTGATTCACTTGCTGGCTGTATTATGGGAGCAGAAAACCATGTTTCCAGTCTTCTTAGGAAAAGTCCCAAGGATATTTCTTTTAAAAATCCACTGTGTAAAGCTGAGCTGTCCAATGTGGCAGCCACTAGCCACATGTGGCTATTGAGCCCTTGAAATGTGGCTAGTGCAACAGAGGAACTGAATTTTTAATTTTAATTAAAGTTTGAATTTAAAAGCCTTTACTCAGTTCAGTTATTTGAAAACACTTAAGTATATTTGGAGCAGCTTGAATGTGTGAATCTGCTTTTTCAACTATAAATTTTATGAAATCTAAATACAGATCGGCTATTTTGGATGAAAATTAAGCACCTGAATTGAAATGTGCTTTAAACATAACATGCACATTGGGGCCAGCCCGGTGGCGCACTGGATAGTGCGCTGCTTGGGAAGCGCGGTGGCGCTCCCGCCCGAGGGTTCGGATCCCACATACAGACCGGTTCCCGCTCACTGGCTGAGCGAGGCGCGGGGGCAACACCGAGGGTTGCGATCCCGTTGCCGGTCCCCGGTCCGGTACGGGGGCAACACTGAGGGTTGCGATCTGTTGCCGGACACGGAAAAAGACAAAAAAGACAAAAAAAAAAAAAAAAGAAACATAACATGCACAAAGATTTCAAGTATTTATTATGAAAAATAGAATACAAAATATCTCATTAATAATTTTTATATTGATTACATGTTGAAATGACAAGATTAAATTAATTACATTAAATAAAATATATTGTTAAAATTAATTTCACTTGTTTAGTTTTACTTTTAATGTGACTTCTAAAAAAATTTTAAATTAAGTATGTGACTCACCTTGTATTTCTACTGGTTAGCACTTGTATAGAGTTTTTTAGTGTAGAGGGTGCTGGAAGTTCCAACTGCAAAGCATTCTGAGGGGCCGCAGAGCCCACCCATGAGTCTTAGTCCCTCGCCTCTGTAGTATGCATTCAAAGGCTGACATTCATTCTACTTGGCTGCAAACCTAGGGTGAGAGTATATGGAGATGTTTGAAAGGCCCTCCCTATGCAAAGAGCAAAGCAGGTGGAGTTTTTTGGGTGCTGACACCTTATTCTCTGAGGCTCCAGTGCCCTCATGCTTCTTCCTACCCTCTCTAGGAAAAGATCAAGTATCACCATTTACAGCATCCTAGTGAACATCCACCTTGGGCGTTTTCATTTTATATTTAATTTCAAATACAAGAATGAAAGGTGAAGTATGGAGCCTTGGGAGGGAGCAAGGGGCATTTGGGGACCTCAGATTCATAAGCCAGCCCCGATGTCCCCAGTTCTATCCCGATCTTGCCCATAACTCACCTGGTTCAGTTTCTCTAAGAAATATCATCATGGGCCTTTTTTTTTTTTTTTTTAAACAGAGACACTGTTATTTTGTGACTTGAGATTATGGTTTGCTGGTAACATAGCAAATAAGAATTAGAAAAAGAAGTCATTAAGAAAACAGCACTTTTGTAGTTTTTTATCCTTTTTGTTTTCAAGGTAAAGTCATTAGGGAGGAAAAAGAAATAATAAATTAAATATACCTTTTTTTTTTTAAGAGGAGGTACAAATAGGAAAGCAAGGACTAACAATCTCTTTGAGCATTATGTGGTATGACGGGATTGCCAGGGTCAAGAGGACCAATGGGCTCCAAGGTCAGTGTGTGGTCCAGATGAACATCCCCAGGTCTTTTCACTAGAGCTCTGGAGCAGCTGCTGTCTGCAAAGATGGGGCCTGGGAGGGGCTGCTGTCCTGGGCTGGGAAATGTCACCGATGTTGGAGAGTCCGGTGCCAGGGTGCTTGCCTTTACTAGCCCTTTGGGGGACATCATGCCCTGGGATGCAGGGACGTAGTGTTATGATTCCTGCTGTTCTCCTGGGCAGTGAAGGTCAAGCCTCTGGACAACAGAGCAGATGGAAACCTTTGTTTGGGTCTTTGTGGGGTGAGAAAAGTAATGTTTTTGTAGGCATGGTGTAAACACAACTCTCTGGGACATCTTTGTGTTTACTGCTGCAGCCCCTGAAGTGCAGTGTGGAGACACATACCTTGCTACCTCATTCAGGGATTTCTTTACTCTTGCTCCACACCTAAAGCTATTACAGGGCTGATGGCAAATGCACCTTCTGCTTTCTTTTAGGGCTACCCTGGATCCAGAGGGGAAAAGGTTAGTGCTTCTCTCTGATGGCATCCCAGAGCCTGGTCTGGGCTATAAGCTCTGGAGTCAGTGATGGGCAGAGGATGGGCCTGAGCCTCTCTTTGGTCAGCAACTGAAGTGACCATTCCTAGATATTCCCTTGTCCTTGGTCAGTGGGCTGAGAGAGAAGTAAGGAGCCTCCTGAAGCAGGGCAAGCAGGCTGGGGCGAGCTCCCAGTGGAGGTAGAGCCCCTCACGTGCAGCAATATGAGCACATGAAGGTTGTGCCGGGTAGAGAATGAAAACAGTCTGTGTGAGGCACTGGAGTAAGATGGTGAGTGTGTGTCTGTAGATCACGCTTCCAGCACACAACCTTCTCATCTGTCCCCAAAACAAAAACCAGCAGGAAACTGGGGAGAAATTTCCTACAAGATGGGAGAGAATCTGGGACCAGAATTTTCTGTGAGTTGTCCTTTATTAATGCAAGAGGACTTTGGGTTCCAAGCAGAAGGTAGATCACAAAGCATACCTTCCCTGGGCAAGTTGCCTAACATCTCTGAGTCTGTTTCTCTGCCTGTATAATGAGGGTGTTGGCTTAGGGAGCTTTTCAGTTTGAAATGCTCCAATTTCCTCCCCCCCGCCCCCCAATGGTATTAGCTCATTGACTCTCTCTTGTGGTTTCCTCCTAGGGATCCAGAGGTGAAAGGGGTGACTTGGGTCCCAAAGGAGAAAAGGTAATGGCCATTCCATAGAAATGATAAATTGCAATGGAAGTGGTGGCCCCAACCCCACCCCCCATGGGCTGGACGACTGGACGATCGACTGACTGGCAGGCCTCTGTCTTGAGAACGTCTGACCAGGCTCGTCACAGCCCTATCGAGTGTTCTTTCAGAGGTGGCCACATATTTGTTGCTCTTTTCACAGGGTTTCCCGGGATTTCCTGGAATGTTGGGACAGAAAGTAAGTACCCAGAAGTAATGAAAATAGGCCTTGGTAAAAAAAATCAGCCCTTTAAGCACAACAAAAAAAGAATACCACATCTTTGTTCATCAGACTGGAACAGTGGGTTTACCTGTGAAGGTTCCGATTTGGGGTGGGGAGCAAGATGCCTTACAGGTTGGGGAGAGGGCGGCAGGATGGTCTGAGACCTACCTGCAGTCCCATGGGAGGGAAAGTATGTCCCATCGACGTGCAGAGCGGCCCTTCTGTGCTTTTCCTGCTTCTTAGAGGGCTATGGAAATATTCAAAAGCAGAACATTTCATGGCAAGGGACTCAGATAGGAGCTGCAATGGTCAGGGTCCCTCTCAGCCCACAGGCCCTGGTGCAAAGCACAGGCGTCTTTCGGTTAATGTCACTGCTGCTTGAACTCTAAACTCTGTCCTCTTCCACATGCTGCCAGAGGGAGGTACACAAAGTAATGTCAATTGGATGACAGTAAAGTTTTTTTTTGATAGTTACATTTTTTATTTAAATAGTTAACTATTTAATGGATGTCTTGCTTGGAACAAGGCTTAATTAAAAAAAGGAGTCAGTTTCAGGTAACTTTTAAAAAATTCAGTAAATAACAATAGAGGGGTGCAGGTATGACAAAAATTGTGAAGGTAGAAATTGACCGACAGATTTTTGCAAACTTTTACTTAGGGTTAGGGTTTGGGGAAGAAAAATGGGGTGAGGTGAGGGGAGGTGTCAGAGAATGAGAGAGAAGTGCATAAATGACCATTTAGAACAACTCCTAAGCTAACATTCCAATGTAAGGCACTGACATTGGAAATTGTTATTTTAACCTAGGTCACAGACCGTAATATTCTTCAAACATGCAAATGGGATGTTTTCTTAGTATTTTTAATTTTTTAAGTTCATCTTAAAGTTTTATTTTCCAAGCTTGAATAATTTTTATCTTAACCATATCCAGTCAGCAAAGCACATTTAAACATTTTCAGTCATCATGCATCAATTTATTATCATTTATCACTTACCTTAAGCTGTCAGAAACTTTTCCTGTTACCCTAGATGGAGTATTGGGTTAAAAAAAAATAGATGAATGATATAACAAAATTAAATAAAACATTAAAAGAGAAAAATTTCATTAAAAAATATGTAAGCTAGGTTTTCATTGAGTGTAACAGTGAACATCAAGGAATAATAAATTACTGTAAAATTAAGTAGGACAGCTTCTCTGGCCTCTGCACCATTTACTAGACTTGCCATTTAAAGAGTTTTCTTCCCTTTTCATGGCAGGCTGTTTTAAGACAGAGCTGATATGATAACCATAATTAGGTCTTACGAGAGAAATTAGATCAAGAAATTACTGGCTGCTCTCAGCTGGTGAAGAGAAGAGCCACACTTCCTTCTGACAATCTCTTTAAAACATTTATACTGTTTATGTTGCTGTTTTCTCCCAGCCAAACAAGACATCCCTTAGACCCCTCTAAACAGCCAGGGAAAAACTGTGCAACCATCTCCCTGGCCACATGGAATCTGTCCTATCCTGAATGCTGAAGGACACCATGAGTTGCAAAGAAATCATAAATTTAAGGACACTTCTTGATGAGGCAGGACATTGGTGGCTTGGGAAGGGACAAATCCATGATACTGTCTGAACTGACATAATTTCACAGCTTTATGTGTGATCCTTCCTGTATAGTGGTGTTCCCTGGAATTTTCCACTGTTATATCTCCTCTGATCTCCCCATGGAAAGGTGCCTGGTGATCATTGTTCTCTCTGAGCGGTTGGGGCAGCTCTTCATAGTTTCCGCTGACTAACAGAAACTCTCTTGGTTGCTATTGCTAAACTTATCTTGTTGGTGGTGCATTCTGGGCTGTAGGAGGATTCCTGGGGGTAGGAATGATGTGCCCTGTGAGTTCACACGGCAAAGAAACAGGAAGTGGGGCTGGAATCCCACAAGAAGGAGAGAAGCTAAGGTGGAGAAATGGGTTTTGGAAAAGTTGGCCTTGAACTGTGAAATTCTGCAGTTGGTGCATTTCGTTCTGATAGTTTGACATAGGGCTTTTCAATTAGGAATATTGTTCATATTGTTTTCTGTGCCTTTCACAATAATTATATTGAATATTTGATCATATGTTTGGAACATCTCTCTCCACAAAAAGAGTTTTCATCTCAATCAAATGGAAGTGAACTGGAACTCCAACCAATCTTTACTGAAGAGCAGGGGAATATATAATGCTAAGTAAAAATCATTAAATGAGCAGAAACTTCCCAAAGGTGATAGTTGGCAAAACTGTGTGCATTCATTCAAAAACCTTATATTTGGATTTGTGCTAAAACCAAAACCTACAAAGCACAACATACGAGTCCAATTTCAACTAAAAGAGAAGCACTTTCCCCAGACAGCTTATGGTGTTACAGGCACGCATGTGACTGAAATACACAAACCTTTGGGTATTCTGGATGGTGGTTTGTCTCTCTCAGGCAATAAATTACCCACCTAGGGTAACCTTCTCCTTCTCTTCCTCTTCCTTAAAAAAGTGTGTCTACCTTTCACTTGACCCAATCACTCTCCCAATCTCCCCGGGCAGCCCATCTGGAAGAGATTTGCAATGCTCAAGTAGACTGCCCCCGTGGCCAGTGATTGGATGTATAGATGTGCCCACTCTGCATGCCCTACTTTCTCTCTTTCTTCTCTCCAGGGTGAAATGGGTCCAAAGGGTGAGCCTGGCATAGCAGGACACCGAGGGCCCACAGGAAGACCAGGAAAACGAGGCAAGCAGGTAAGAATCCCAGGGCTTCCCACCCCTCTCAGATCAAGACCTCCCGACCTGGAGGTGTGTGGAGAGGCAGGTGGTGGGCTCAATCAGAGATGTTCCGTAGGCCCAGACTCCAGTGTCCTTTGCTCTGGTGCTTTCAGGAACTGCTGGCTTCTCTAGGCACACCATAGTTCCAGGCAAATGAAATAGGATGCCCCATTCAAACTGTGTCCAAGTCTAGAAGCAAGAATGGGTCTTTGGCGCCGGCCTGGTGGTGCACTGGAGAGTGCGCTGCTTGGGAGCGCAGCGGCGCTCCTGCCAAGGGTTCGGATCCCATGTGGAGACCGGTTCCTGCTCACTGGCTGAGCGCGGTGCCGGTGCGACAACCGAGGGTTGCGATCCCGTTGCCGGTCCCCGGTACAGGCGTGACACTGAGGGTTGCAATCCCGTTACCGGTCAGTAAAAAAGACAAAAAGGAATAAAAATTAAAAAAAATAAAAAGAATGGGTCTTTGATTCATAAGAACAAGTCTTTCTGAACCCAAGCAATTGGGAGTGGAAGCCAGATATGGGAATTACCCAGAAAACATGCTTTTTGCCTCAGTGTCCCAGACACAAACAGAGTTTTGGAGAAGAACCCAGATATTTCTCTGCTATTGAAGGATCTTCTGGGTCTCAACAATAGGGTGGTTTTTCCCCACTCAGGCCCCCAGTTTGTAAGTGACCCTTTTAATTGAGCTTGTTAAGGATTTGGTGAAATCATTCATTCTGAGCTCTCCCTGGTCAGCAGCTCTTGTGTTAAGCCACATGATGTAACAAGAAGGAAGTTGCATTTGCCTCAGCTGGCTGTGGTGCTGACTGAGTGCCTCGGAGAAACGTCTGGTCTTTCCTCTAGTGGACAGGCATTCCTGAGAGAAGATGTGCCCCTTTACTGTTTCGGTTGTCAAAATTGGCTTTTTTACCTCCCTTCCACTGTAAATGTAATATGTAATCACCACAGAAAACTTGGAAAATTTAGAAATATGGGGGGGGGGATCATCTAAAGACCTAACACCCAAGCATAACCACTGTTGGTGATTGTGGTGTCATTCTGGTATATTTCCTTCCAGTATTATTTCTTTTTATACTTTTTAGGTGTTTGTTTCTTTTACATCCAATATATTGTTATTATAATCCTAAATTTTTAACTTAAGGTCACAATAAAAACTTTTTTTTTTTTTACTGCAGATATTAAGTATTTTTAATCCTCTTTTATTTTTTTAGTGTCTACATTTCATCTTAGTAAATGAGTCAGCAGTAGATTGCTTGGACAAGAGAGGCCTAACCAGATTATATATAATGCTGAGAGGTGAACATCTTTGGGTACAAAACTTTTTCCATTCTTTAAAATATTTCCTTAGGCTATATTTGTGACTCTCAGACTTTAGCTTATATCAGAATCACCTGGGAGGCTGATTAAATACAGATTCCCCACAGTAAGTACAATGGTTGTAGTTCCACATTTGCCTCTCACGGTATCCAATGCATAGGCCTTATTTCCCAAGACTCTGATATAATTGACCTGGAATGGGCTCTCAGCATGGGTTTTTTTGTTTGTTTGTTTGTTTTAAGGTGTGCATGTGATTCTATTGTGCAGCCAGGGTCCAGAACCTTGGTAACACTATGAAGCCAATTGTGTTCTTTTCCAAGTGAGTTTGGAAATGACACAGGCTCCAATCTGGAGAATTCAGACTGCATAATAACTTTTGAAGTCACAATATTCCACAATATTCGTGTGACTTCACAAGGATGCCGCAGATACTAATTTTCTAAAAACTAGGTTCAGAAAAAGAAGAAAAAGGGGGGGGATGGGGTGTTTCTTTTATCACTCTTTCCCCTACTGATGATTTCCATCCAAAATATTTTATGCTTGGAGTCCAAGAAACCTGCCAGCTTCTGCCCTACAGTTCTTTTCTTGGGCAGTGTTTATCTTTTCCTGGTGAGAGCCAAAACCAGGAAGGCTATTTCTTGACCCTGCTGAGATCGATTCAGTTGCAGTAATCACAAAAGCTATACCAAAACCACAATGGGGAGCTCAGAGAAGTTAGAGAAATGAGCTCAACCTTCCTACAAGATGTTATAAACAAGCTTAGTGTGCTCCAAATCCTTGGTGTCTTTCTAGTCACCAGATACTTGAGTCATTAGCCTTGGAAGCCTACCATGGTACTTTCTTTTTACTGTGAATTAATTTCCTAGCGTACAGTCTTATACACTGAGTGTTTGTTGGGCCAGTGGTACTAAGAGTTGTTGGAGATTATTGTAAATCAATCCAAAGCTGAGAATCAGAAATCCGAAAGGGATTTCAGGTTAGACTTTCTGAGCCAGAAGGATTTTAGAGACTGCTATAGTTTGTTCACAAGGAAACAGAGGGTCAGGGAGGTGGAGTTGCTTGCCCAAGACCCCTTCACTAAGCTAGCTTCAAAGCCAGAGCTGAGAGACCTGCTGTTTCCCACACCAACTTTGTGGCAAATAAGGAATAAAGAATGCCTTTCCTGGAAAGTGCTGTTCATTGAGTCTGGCTGATGGAGACATGGCCCATTCTGAGCGATGACCGATAAGCAGAATATTCCATTACTGCTGGTGTAGAATCGAGGAACATTTCCAGCTCCTCCAAGCTGTGGCACTTCCTGTGCTCAGAGCCAGCTGATGTGGCTGTTAGAAAAACAAGCCTTAACCATGGCTATATTAAGACGGTGTGACTTCCTTTGCCATTCTGGGACCCATCTTGGTTACTGCATGGAATGCTTCAGCTTGGGCTAAGGCTTAAGAACCCCCTCCATAAGGATGGAACTGGAAATGAGCTGACCTCAAGGGTCCCATATTAAGAGTTTAGGAACTCCTTGGACATTACCAGGAGGGCTCCCAGGGCCATGTTGACATGGTGGCAGGTCACATGTCACAGTTGTGATTGGAAAGGCGTCCCCAGCATACTTGCTTCCCAGACTGGAGGAAGATTACGTTTCATCAGGTGGGCAAGACTGCCAGGGTACAAGTGTAGTAAGGAGGGCCAGGCCAAAGATGTCAGGTATCAATCATTGTCCTGATTAGGCCCAGGGCAAGAGTAGACAATCAGCAAATTGCTCAGAGGAAGAACCTACAGCATGCAGCAGCCTTGATTTTGATGTCACTCCCATGGGCAGCCCTTGGGGGAACCAAGAGCCTGACTTTTGCTCTTGAAGCTCTCAGAGTAGGCAACAAAGAGGACACTCCATGTGGAAAGGCTGTAGCTGCAGGTGTGTCTTTAAGAATTTAAGAAATACTTTGTGAGAAAAAGATGAAACCAGGCCAGTTGCTGTGAGAATCAGCTTGTCCTCCCCCCTCCACCCCGTAGACCTTTGTTCTGTGCAAACCATATTTTCACCTCTAGATCCTTCTCAGCCTCACACAAACCTATGTGGGTGTGTACTTACTGGCCTCATTTTACAGATGACAAATCTGAGGCACAAAGCAATGGCATGAGTTACCCAGGGTCTCATGGTTAAGGTGAAATCTCCTGATTTACAGATCAGCAAAGCTATCTTCAGCTTCTTTCTTCCCCCTCATTTGATCTGGGGAAGGGAGGTGAACAAGGCACATTCCAGTCCCCAGGGAGCTTATGTCTCATGGGCAGACATTGATGAAATGACCACACAAATAATCTAGATGCAATGATCTGGAATAAATGCCATGGAGGAAAAGGGCTGAGTTATGAGAGCCTATGACAGGGAGAAATCACTCAGTCTGGGAAGGCTTGGTTGTGACACCGTTTGAGCTGAGAGCTGAAGGGTGGGTGGGAGTTAACTAAGCAGAGGGGAGGGAAGAGGAGTTGGGGGCAGAAAGAAGGGTTTCGAGAGGGAGGATAACAGACACAGTGCCCCTGAAGACCAAAAAGACCAAAAGGCTGGTATGAGACTGGAAAGCCTGGCCATGCAGGGCTTTGTGGCTGAAGTAAGGAGCTGGGTCTTTCTTCTGAGAGCAATGGGAAGCCATTAAGGGGGAACAGCCTTTGCAGTGAAGTAAAAATTGTCCTGACAAGCAAGCAGAAGGCCCAATTTCCACTCCCAACTCTGCCACCTCAGTGCTAGGTGACTTGTGTAAACCCTTGCTCTTTTCTGAGCTTCTGTTTCCTCATCTGCCCAGTGAGGGGAGTGGGTTCCATGCAGCTGTCATGTGCTATGTTTCTAGGACAAAGCAAGAACAAAAGTCTGCAAACTTATAACTGTCACTATCTTAACTGTCATTTACCTTGAGCTCTTTAGAAGCTTGGTGGTCAAGACCTCTGGGGCTGTCTCCTGCCCTGGGCTCTTGCTCCCAAATGCAAGGTGGTCCCTGATTTAGAGACAAATGGGGAATGAGGTTTGCCATTTCATGCTGTCGTAACAGGCTCTGCCTTTCTCTCTTTCAGGGACAGAAAGGAGACAGTGGAGTTATGGGCCCACCTGGCAAGCCTGGGCCTTCTGGTCAACCTGGCCATCCAGGCCCCCCAGGGCCCCCAGGTCCACCATCTGCAGGTAAGAGCTACACTGCTTCACTCGATCTCCAATGTTACCCTCCTGGCCAGCCTCCCCAGAGAGGGTGCAGGAGATGCCAGCAGAGCTCTGCCTTGTGTTTTGAGTTAGAAACTGCCTGAGGCACTTTAATAATTATAATTTTTTTTTTTTTGTCTTTTGTCTTTTTCCGTGTCCGGCAACGGATCGCAACCCTCAGTGTTGCCCCCGTACCGGACCGGGGACCGGCAACGGGATCGCAACCCTCGGTGTTGCTCCCGCGCCTCGCTCAGCCAGTGAGCGGGAACAGGTCTGTATGTGGGATCCTCGCTCAGCCAGTGAGCGGGAACAGGACTGTATGTGGGATCCGAACCCTCGGGCGGGAGCGCCGCCGCGCTTCCCAAGCGGCGCACTATCCAATGCGCCACCAGGCCAGCCCAATAATTATAATTTTTCCACAATTTGGCTCATTCAACTTTTACACAAGAGAGATAAATGCCATTCTGGCACTGTTTTAGCATTCTGGAGAACAAATAGAGGAAAGAAAAAGAAAAAAGTGATATTGGTGATGTCATTTATACTTTAAGTGAAAAATAACAGGCAAATATTTAATCAATTTGCACCTTTTTCTAGAAAAAAAATGTTTTATGGCTTTAAGCAATTCTCTTAAACCTAGAAGTAAAGATGACATTGTAGATTTTAATATCCTATGGTGTTATAAAAGAGCCCTCATTTATTTGCAGGAAATATAGAAATTACTAAAAAGAAATCAAAAGTCTACTACTGAAGAGGGCAGAGGTACACTAGTATCTTGTTTAACCTTATTTAATTTGATTAGCAAAGCTCTTTATTTTATTCTCTTGTCAGCTCATAAGACCTTTCATAGCAAATCTGTATAAAGACAACATCTCTAGGTCCAAGAAGGCCGTTTGCTGACTATGCAAGACTTTTTATCCTCAGTTACACAAAAGGAATCCAAACAATTTTTATTCCAACTTTTTTCTTAAGAAAATGAAGATTTAAAAAAATTCTATAGTGCTCATTTCCCCCCGTATTTATGGAAATATATTTGCAGCCACATCATAGGATGGGCAAGAAATGCCATATTTTGTTAGATCCTTCAAACAAAATCTAAGCTGACTCTGAGGCTTTGACCTGCCAGGATGCCAGGAAAATTCAGTCTCAGGCATTATTGGGGTTCTCTCCACTCTTCCAACTGCCACGATAGTATTGGGCAAAAATCCTGGTAATTTATGGCAGAAAAATATCAGGGAAGGTCCCTGCAGCCTTTGATCTACCCTGTTTACTTCTGAAAAGCCTGTGTCATGTCCAAGACCATGTGATCTGCTGCCCTCATGCTGTGCATGGATATCAAAACATTTCCAAGGCTGAGAACCCTGGTACTATGGCTCAGTTTCCCGAGGAGCACCCCACAATTCTTTCTGAGACCACCTCTTCTCTTCTCCAGGATTTAGGGGGTCCCTATCTTGTCCATGCCTAGGGAAATCCCTCCTCTTCCACCCTCTCTTCATACTCCCCAAACACCAGCAGCCCAATTAGGAGCTTTGCCCTTCTGAGAACAGAAGGCAGAAAGGCAAGTTTGTCTTCAAACAGTACCTGCTTTTAGCAAGGGCAAGGAAGCACAAAGCCTTGCTGCCTCCTTGAAATTGGGAGAGATGGAAATAATGGGAGAACAAATGTCAACTTAGTATGGCAATAGCTTATCTTGCCATACCTGTTTCCATGTTGTTAGGGGAACTGGATTTGAGAGGCAGCCCAGGCCATATGTTCCATGATCCATAGTCCGTTTCTCTTAAGTCAGCTGGCTGATCTGGAGGGGGTTCTGAACCTCCTTGGTTCTGGCATGCATAACATTCCCCTGGAGCCCCATGACCATAAGCTGCCAATCCCCGAGACTGAGAGCATGGCCTGAAGCCTGGATTTTGCCTTTGGAAGGGACTTTCTTGGCCTTCGGGGTGCTTAGGGGCACACAAAACTGAGGAATAATCTGGGGACATAGGGTGGGGTAGATGCATAGGGAGGTCCTTAGCAGACTGTGACTTGAATGGACTCACTGTGTGTGTCTATTTGCAGAGACCATCTCAATTTTTTTTTTTAGAAGGTGACCGGTAAGGAGATCTTAACCCTTGACTTGGTGTTGTCAGCACCACGCTCACCCAGTGAGCTAACCAGCCATCCCTATATGGGATCTGAACCCATGGCCTTAGTGTTATCATCACCGCACTCTCCCGAGTGAGCCACAGGCTGGCACAAGACCATCTCCCTTCTGACTTCTAGTTCCCTCCTGGGGCCTCTGGTTGGATTGGACGGGCAGGGCCTGGGGAATGTCATAGCCTCTTGGATGCCCACTGTTTTGTCTTGTCAGTCCTATATGCACAGCAGCCCTATCCCGTTAGCAGGCCCAGAATGGTCCTGTTTTCTCTCCCTGGCCTTCCAGTTCCTTCTCTTCCAGTCCAATGTACTCACCTCTTCTCCCCCTCCATCATCTCACCCTCTGCCAGGTCCCGGCCTTACTGTCCCCTGCACTCCAGCAGACACCCTGCTCTCTGCCGAGTTGGAGCATATCCTGTGGTCTTCCTGGGTCCATTTGGCCTGATATGGCACTCCTGTCACCCCTTTGCCCACCTAACAAAATCCTCTACTTCTTTCAAACCCCTCTCTTCAATAAAGCCTTCCTTAGCCCCTAACAGGATAGGTCATTCTCTCCTGAGCCCTGGTCGCATGCGCCCTCTTTTATGGCCCCTCTGTTGGTAGCAGTTTTCTGCAGACATGTTTCATCTTCCTGCTGGATGGCAAGTTCCTTGAGGGCAGGGTCTGTGGCTAAGCCAGCTTCACATTCCCCATGCCACCTGGCAGGAGGGGTGGGTGGGCTGGTCCCTACAGCTTCTCAGAGACATGGGATACATTGGCTCAGTCTGTCCCTCCTGGGTACAGCCAGCAGCCAAGCACGATGTGGACCATCTCTCTGGACTGACGTTCCCTCCCTGTGCCTTCCTGTGAGTCACTTCCTTTTTGAGGAACCTCCCAGAGTGAAGGGGCTGAAGATGGGAAAGAGGCAAAATGGGGCAATAATCCTGCTCTTTGGAAAAGTTTGGTGTTGGGGGGGTGGAGGCAGATAAGGAGAGGGAGGAATTTAAAAAATGCATCCCTGTGCTGGAGACCAGTCAGGTAATCTTTAAGAATTGGAACATGTCCCCTAAAGTGATTCCTGAGGCCACCTTTGAGAGTCGGATAAAAGTCCCAAACCCACTCTCAGGAAAAAAAGATGTGTATGCCTTCACTCAAAATTCTACACATGATTTCCCAGAGTCCTAGAACCCCCGCCCCAAGTCCATCTTGGGATATCCTTGGGTTTTATAGACCATAGGTTAAACTCCCCTGGTCTAGTTCAACCCTTCCTTTATAGATAAGAATCTTGAGCCTCAGAGCGAAGTGACTTCTGCACGGTCATCGAGCTGACTGGTGGCCACCCTGGCCCAGAATCAGTGCCTGGCTCCTGTGACTCCCCAGCTGGCCATACTGGAGATTGTTGTGGGGGTTCCTGTTCCCACCATGGCGGCCGGTGGAAGTGAGAGGCTCCCTGGGCAAAGACGGAGAGCCACGTCCTCTGGCTGCAGGGTTAGGCAATGAGGCCAAGGGAGAAGTTCAGGTCACTGTGCCCTTCACTGCAGCCTGGCAGGAAGCAGGCAGGGGTAACAGATGCCCTCAGACAGCTGAGAGGAAGCGGCAGGGAAACTGCAGTGGCGGCAGCAGGCTCCCTGCCACATCCTGTTGGGAGGCAACCTCAGCTTCTGGTGCCCAGCACTATGGGGCTGGATGGTGCTGGGGCAAGTGGAGCGGGTGGGAGCTTTTAAATTGCCCAAGTTATAGGAAAAAAGGGACTGGGGGGTGGGAGTGGGGAAGGAATAAAGGCAAAATGCCTTTAGGATGTAATTTGCAATAATCAAGTTACGAATTTGGCTGAGTCCTTCCTGCACCCAGGCAGGGTATAAGTGAATCAGCGTGGTACCTGGGAATTGCCAGCTTCCTAAGGGCATCAATATCGTTGGATGCTTGTCTTTGGAAATGCATAGTGTTAAGTCAAACATGAATTCACATCTCAGCCTCACCACCAATTAGCTGGATAATGAGACAAACTCCTGATTCTGTCTGAGGCCATGGTCCTGGAGGGATCTGGGGGTCACAGGGCCTTCCAGAAGCCTGTTCCAATGCCACTCTCATGTCCTTGGTTACAGACCACTTCCACCTCAGTTTCCCCAGGTGCTTAATTACCCAGTGCATTCCTGGACTGGTGGAGTCTTTATTTCTCTGGGCTCTTCTGAAAATATAGTAATGTAAGACTGGCGCTCTTCCTGCAGAGTTGTATTCCTATTTCTTGTTAGGACAAAAATCATAACGTGGCATGAGATGCTGGCACACCTCCCTCCCCCTCATGCTGTCAGCATTCTGATCTTAGACATATCTGTTGACCAGCTCAGGAAGCTGGGGTCTTTCCATGCGGGTCTCCTCCTCCAACTGCAGCTGCTTCTCTGGGGTCCTGAGCAGCTCTCCTTGGGGGCATGTTATTTCCTGCCCTTCTAGGATCTGAGAACTGTGTTCCCAGTTCCTGGCTGTCCCAGCTGTCATACTACCTGAAACCAATGACTAGCTGGTCTCCAAAATACCCCTTATTTTCCCAGGAGGAGGAGTACTTATTTATTTCTTTTTTCAGTCCCCATCTTTTCTTCTCTGTCCCCTCTTCCTGTTGGATGGCTCTTGCTCTAGTTAGTGCTTTTCTGCCAGCCAGAGTATGACTTCTAGCCTTTTCCGAAAACCTTTTCTCTCCAACTAGTGTGCATTCATTCACTCACTCACTGGATTCTCAGACATGTACCATGCCCCTACCATGTGTCATGCCCTGCCCTTGTGGAGCTTACGTTCTCCTGGGGGAGATAGACCTTGATTGAATAGTCTCACAATACACAGGATCACACACAGATAAGAGCTGTGTGAAGAAAAGGCACAGGGAGCTATGTAATTGTAGCAAGGTGAACACAACAGATATTCAAAAGGGTTCCCTGATGAAGTGATATTGAACCCAGATCAGAGGATGTTAGGATGCACCTGGGGAGGGTAGGGATGGAGGTGAAGAGAGGACAATCTGGCAGAAGAATGGCCTGTGTAGAGACCCTTTCCCTAGACTGGCAGTGCTCAATCTTGGTGCACAGTGGAATCATCTTGAAAGCTTTAAAAAGTATAGATGCATGTGTGCTATTCTCAGAAGTCTTGATGGAATGGGTCGGGGGTGTGGCCTGGGCATCAGGGCCTTTAAAAGTTAAGGTGAGGGCTGTTCAGTTACCTGAGTTGGTTGGAGCATGATGTTGATAACACCGAGGTCATATTGGTCAGCTGCCAAAAAACAGTCAAGGTGAGAACTACTACCCTAGCTAGCAGTTCTCTCACATTGCAAGGAAGTGTTTCCTGCTCCTATCTTTTCCAGACATGTACTCTTCTCAGTACCAGGGGAGAGTAAGTGGGCTGAGCATTTACAAAATTTCCATTTTTCTTCCAGAAGAAATAAAAGAAACGCACACCCAGAAATTCTTCTGTAAAGCTCCTACATAAAAGAAAAACAAAATAAAAAAACAATGAAAGTTATCAGTTGGCAGTGTGTTCTCCTGCAAGAACCCCCCTGTTAATAATGGTCTAAACAAATAGGCATTGTTTTCTCCAACAAGGAAATCCAGAGGTGGACAGCAGCCAGCTTTGGTTCAGCCTCTAAATGTCACTCTCAGGAGCCCAGGCCCCGTGAACACCTTGTCTTTGCTGAATGTTGGCTTCTCTTCTCATGCTTGTTACTTCACTTCACGGTTGCAACGTAGCTACTGCAGCATCTGCCATCTCGTCTGTCTTCAAGGCAGGAAGAAGGGAGAAGCTATGTCTCCTACCACCTATGTTTCTCCCCTTATCTCTTCTATATCCTGGATCAAAAGCACCTCTTTGGATCTCTCCCTCAGGCCTACCCTGAAATGTGGACTTTAACCTTTCTGTTGTGAAGTTGCTCACATCTACCTGGGCTGTTTGGTTTTCTTTCCTTTGGCTCTAGTAAAACTGCAGTCTGTTGCTTCCTAGGACAACTTGTAATGGGACCCAAAGGGGAAAGAGGATTTCCCGGGCCTCCAGGAAGATGTCTTTGTGGACCCCCTATGAATGTGAATAACCCTTCCTACGGGGAGTCCGTGTACGGGTCCAGTTCCCCGCGAGTTCCTGTGGTAAGGTTTTTCTGGGTGAAGTCTGGGGTGGTTTATCCATAAGGACTTCTCACCTGATCCTCTTGGGGCTCTATAAAATCCTTTTAGGAAATTTTACTTTCCCCCATTACTCTGGGTACACACTCATTATAGGAAATTAGAAAATATGGGAAAATCAAAAGAAGAAAATCAAATTATCCATTTGGTTGTAGGTCCATTTGGGGGTATTTTCTTTCTTTTTTTTTTTCTTAAGAATAACTTTTATATGGTAGAGATTATATTGTACAAAAATGTGCTGTAGTTATCTCAGATGAAATCCTGCCATGTTTTCGTGCTCTATAAATATTGTTTTAAAGTTTTTTATTGTAGAAAATTCCAAATAAATATAAAAGCAGAACAGTGTAGCGAATCCTTATGTACCCTTCACTCAGCTTTAACAATTATCAACTCATGGCTAACCTTGTTTCCTTGTTTTCTCTTTATGCCTACTTACCACTGCCCACCCTCCCTTGGATTATTTTGAAATAAACTCTGAACATCAAGTCATAAACATTGTTTGATGACTGCATAATTATCCATCTGCTGTGTGGCTGATTTATTTAAACAGTGCCCTATTGTTGGATATTTATAGAGTGTGCCCGAGCTTTTTTTTTTTTTGATCAGTAAGGGGATCATAACCCTTGGTTTGGTGTCGTCTGCACCACACTCAGCCAGCGAGCGCACCGGCCATCCCCATATAGGATCCGAACCTGTGGCCTCGGCGCTACCAGCACCGCACTCACCCGAGTGAGCCACCAGGCTGGCCCCGAGCTTTTCGCTAACATAAATAACACTGTAATGAAAATCTTTGAGTAGATGATTTTGTTAAGAATCATTTCCAGATGTGAAATTACTTGACTGTATGACATCACCTATCAATTTTAGTCTTGAGAACATTTAAAATGTTTAAAAGTGTTAAATCACAGTGGATATTTCCATTTCAAACTCAGACATTAGGAACTGGATTGAGAAGCTGTGGGAATCCAGATGTTCCTGCCCCTTTCAGAAGAATGCTAGAGTGTAATGTGCAGTCCCTCTTCCCAGGGTTAACCAGCCCAAGGATAGAGATTCCAGCTTTGCCTGCCCCCTGTGGAAGTGTGTTCCAGAATCCTCACCAGTGTGCTCTCTGGCAGATTTTCGTGGTCAACAACCAGGAGGAGCTTGAGAGGCTGAACACCCAAAATGCCATTGCATTCCGCAGAGACCAGAGAGCTTTGTACTTCAAGGACAGCCTTGGCTGGCTCCCCATCCAGGTACCCGGAGGCAGGCACCTCAGGACATACTCCCCATCCCCACCCAGGAGAGGGGCACACCCATTAGAGAAAGGGAAGGCCGAATGTTTGGGCCTGGGGCAGAGCTCTCTGCAGTCTGTCTCTGCGGCAGGGCTGAGCATCCTCCCTCACGCTTCTGAGCAGCTCTCATGCCCCATTCCCCAGACACAAGTTCCACTCTGAGCCGAGGTTCCAGATGGTCTCCATATCCCTGAACTGCCAGGCTGCCATCTTGATCCAACCCTGCATTCCTTCCACTACAGAGCTCTGGGTGACAGGAAGGAAGTACATTTCCCACCCTCCAGGAGGAAGTCAAGGGATGCCCGCTGCAGAGCCCCCCGGACCCAGAGTGCCTGTCCCCAGTGCCAGCGACCTCCCTGCTGAGGCTGCGTGTGTGTGCCATCCCCCAGTTAATGCGTGTGTTTCTCTGGCCAGCTAACCCCTTTCTACCCTATGGACTACACTGTAGACCAGCGCGGCACCTGTGGGGACGGGGTCCTGCAGCCTGGGGAGGAGTGTGACGACGGCAACAGTGATAAGGGTGACGACTGCATCAGTGAGTGGACCCTGCCGGGAGGACCTTGGGCCTGAACAGCTAGCAGGGTGGGGGTCAGACAAGCCCTGGACACCAGCTGTGGCAGTTTGGGACCATTCTTGGGCCACAGAGGGTATACGGGGCTGCCTTAGGAACCCTTCTCAATATCAGGCCAAATGTCACCCAAGCACCACCCGAGCATGTCAGTGGGCGTAGGCGTCAGGATCTGGCCCCCCAGAGAGGCCTTCCTTCCCACAGTGGAGCTACCAGGCCCTCCCTTTTCTCCTGGTCCTACTTCTTGGCAAAACCCATGTTCTATACTCAAAAGATAAAGGTGATGGGCTCTTGCTTTGCATACAGGAGTGAGAGGTAAAGGGGAGAGGCCACGAATCGGAGTCAGGACTCACTTTGACCGGGTAGAGCTCCGGCCGCGAGGCCCTGCTCAAGGGAAGCTGCCCAGCGGCGCGGCCTCCGGGCTTCTGGGCTGCTGCCGAGTCAGGCAGGTGGCCCGTGCTTGAGGTTCGCCTTTTTTTTTTTTCTTTTTAAATCGAGTGACAAAAGCAGGAGGTGAGGTGAAGCAGGGGCTTTAGAGTGAGGTCAGAGTTCAAGTGCGGGCTCAGTGGCTGCTGCCTCACCTTCGGCTCAGGGAGGAGGCGCCACGAGCCTCACTCACCTTGACCGTGGAGCAGGTGTGACTCCAGAGCCGCTGGAGCTTCTACAGCTCCCATATGCAGGGATGTGGCATCCGGTCCCTGAGTTCCTCTATGACTGGTTTCTTAAGCCCCTCCTGTGAAGAGCCAGGCTTGGGCTCGGGATATAGAGTTGTGGTCCTTGCCCTCAAGAAGCTCAGGGGAAAGGTGGCAGTGTGGAGTGATGAAGGTGTGCACGGGGCTGGGTGCAGGGGAGACGCTGCCGATTTCTCTCTGTCGCTGCACTGTCCCCTGCCAACTCCCAGATGGCAGCCCCACAGGTGCTGGTTTTGCATGGATTCCCTTCTGCCTCTGAAGCAGACGCTGTCAAATCGGAGCTCTCACAGTGGCAAGGAACCAAGGGGGTCTCTATGGCCTGTAAAGATGAGGGTGGGGTTCATACTCCAAGACGCTCCCCTCGTGTGAGAGCAGAGGTCTTTGCTGAAGTTCACATGGCTCCCCAGGACACAGGCTGGGCCCACCTGTGTCACCCACCCCGGAGGCTCTCTGTTGACAAGAGTCACCATGCCCCCTCACGGGTGCCTGATGCTCAGCAGCCTCCTAACCCTCACCTCGGGAACCCCACAGCGGTCCTGAGAGCGGAGGCAGTGTCCATATCCCCATTTTGCAGATAAGGACACAGAGGCTCCCCACTCCTCAGCTACTGAGTAGCTGGGCCGGAGCCCAGGGCTCCTTGTCCTTGTTCCGCAGCACATCGGTGTGGGACTCAGGGTCTGAGGGGTTGTCCCCAGACGAGGCTGAAGCTTTATGGAGGTCGGTGCTTCAAGCAGGTGCGGGGCTCTGGGTGGATCCTGTGGGCCACACAGTCCTTACAGGCTGAGGCAAGCCTGTCCCGCCCCTGCCCCTTCTCAGGGCTGCACTGCTTGTGTCCCCTCAGGCTGTCACCGGGCCTACTGTGGAGATGGTCACCGGCACGAGGGTGTGGAGGACTGTGATGGCTCCGACTTCGGCTATGTGACGTGTGAGACCTATCTCCCTGGGTAGGGAAGCCTTGCGTGTTATCATGACACCCCTCCCCTCACCCTCCTTTCCTTCACAGATATTTTTGAGTGCCTCTAATGTTCCTGGCACCTTCTAGACACTGAGGTATGGGGACGAATAACACAACACATGGCCCCTGCTCCCCTGGAGCTTTCTGTACAATGGGGAGACGGGCAGTAATCACGTAGTCCCCAAGAGCCCTCTCATCAGAGCAGCCTGCATGCCTCTGGGGCTGGGCTGGGCAGGCACAGCCACCAGCAGCCATCTCTGCACTCGGCTGCTGCCCTTGGAAGAGCAGCTCCAATCCGCTGGTCACCATGACCACACTGGTCTCCTGGGCAGTGGGCCTGGGACGGAAGCCCCGTGGAGGGTAGAGTCAAGTCTTTTCAAAGCATCTATGCTTCTACATAACCTGAATTCTCTGAAATACCCTGCCCACTCCTTGGGCAGGCCTGTGGGAACAAGTGAGATCATACCAGCATTAATATCTAAATTTGCTGGCTCATGGCCCCTCCAGGAAAATATTCCCTTCTAGAGCCCCTCCAGTTATTTCTGAGAATCCTCACTGAGTGTTTATGTTGCTCAGGGCAAATATTCCAGTGTCCTGGCCTCCCCGTCGACATCTCCCAAGCCAACTGAGAGCCATTGGCCCCATGAGGTGCTGATGCCATACCCAGAATGTAGCCTTCTGGGCTCCTTTCAAGGTGCAAGATGGCACCATGATCCCCCTAATCCTTACAGAGCCAGGGTTATATAATGTTCTAGGGAAAATGGGGAAGCCACTCCCTTCTTACTCTGTCCATGTCCTGCTCTTCCTTTGACTCCAGAGTGGACCTGCCATCCCCTCAGACCTCATATGGCTCTCATGAGCCCAGTCTCATCAGCTTTTGCTTCCAGCCCTTTTCCTCTTGCAGACTCAGACACAGTCCCTCTGCAGGGATGGGGAGCAGACACGAGGCCTGTCTCTCTATTGCCCCCTCTCTGCTCCTTCTTCCAAGGGGGTCTCCTCAGTGCCCACCCTCCAGACACATATCAGCATATTCAACCAGGCTGGGAGAACTACAGACCTGTGGTCACCCCCAGACTGAAAGCCCATTTAGGCTCAGCTAGGACCACCCCTTATATGTGTCTGGGTGCACTGCCCCCTCCCTGAGGTAAGGAAGGCTCTAACGGGCACCTGGCAGTCGGCAGGTCTGAGCTATTGATGACTCCATGGAGACAGCTGAATGTAGACAGTCAGATGTGGAGCACAGGACCGAGTGAAGCCCAGGGTCTGCACACTGGCCACCATGGTTACTGACCTAGCTCCTAGAGGCTTCAGAGGGGTGCTTGCGAGTTTGTGTACGATGTACAACACCCTGTCTCAGGATTGTCATTTGGGCTTACAGAGGTATAGACTGCACTGTCCAATATGATAGCCCCCAGTCACATGTGGCTGTTAAAATTTTAAATAGTTAAAATTAAATTTAAAATTTAGTTCTTCAGTCACACTAGCCATATTTCAAGAGCTCAGTAGCCACACCTGGCCCATGGCTGCCGTCTTGGACTGCACAGATACAGAACATTTGCATCAGTGCGGTGCATTCTAATGCACAGCACTGGAGACCTTTCAGGCTGTGTTAAGAGCAGGGCCACCATCTCCTGCCATCCAGATCCCTCAGCTGTGTCTCAAGGCAAAAAACCCCAGAGACCTGACTCAGCTCCCCCAAACTCCTCATCCCACACGAGAATGAGGAACGTTTTCACAGGACCCTCGGCCCTTGGTAAGAAGCAGCAGTGGCTGCTGTTTGGTGAGATTTAACCAAGAGTCACCAGAGGTGGCCTTTTGGAATGTGAGGCATGTCCATCACCCTGACGTGTGTCCTTGCCTCCCTCAGGTCGTATGGAGACCTGCGGTGCACGCAGTACTGCTACATTGACTCCACACCGTGCCGCTACTTCACCTGAGGGCCGCAAGGGGAAGGTGGGCTGTGACTCACGCAACCGGCAGCAGCTTCTCCGCCCTCAGCAAACTGGCCTTGCACCATCCCGGTCCAGTTTCCACCACACTTTGTGTGATAAAAACAAGGACAAATTCTTTCTGCTAAGACATGCTTTTAACTGAGTCTGGCTGGAAGAATTTAGGACCACTGCATCCTGTCTTAATCCAAAGTACCAGAAATCCTTCTACATGCCCAGCCTGGGAACTGCTCCCCACTGCTACCATCTGGCCAAGTAGCCAGCTACAATGCCCTTTCTCTTCTGGAATGTCACCAACCCAGGCCATGGACTTGGCTTAGCACTGTTAGACACACGTAGACCTGAGGGGCTGTTTTAGTTTGTTCTGATCTTGTGTGGGGAGTCTAGTGTATAGGCCTCCAGCCCCTCTGACTGCTGGACATTTGGGCACTCTCACCAAGGGCAGCCAGCTGTCAGGTCTCTCAAGGCCTGTGAATCACGAGGCAGGAACATGGGCACGTTCTCTCGGTGTGGCTCACAGCTCTGGACCTGCCGAGACCCCTCAACTGGCCACAGCCCAGACCAGCTCATGTGGCTCCCCCCAGGAAGAGACCCAACTGTGAAAAGGTACTGAGAAAGCCACCAGACCATGCCCAACCCTGAGAGTGGAGGCTCAGCTGGGTCACTTGCTGGGTGAACAATACCAGACCAGTGACCTTCATCTTCTCCATGTTTCCCACAGGGGTGGCTTTTGTGGTTTCAAAATCCATCTTGACTTCGTGGCTCTCTCTGCACTTTGACCTCTGTCTTGCGAATGCCCCTCATGTCCATCTCCTGTTCGGGGGACTCACTAGCACGGTGTGACCTTCACAAGTCCACACCTGGGCAGGCTGTTGGTGTTTCGTGGTCATTAGGAAGATACTGCCCTGGGTTTCCCTGTCCAGGGCCCAACTGCTTGAACACACTCTGGGCAAAGACTGTTTCTGTCCTGCGCACCATCTCCTCGCTTCCTGCTGACTCGTGCGTGTGCCCTGTGACCTCCCTTTGTGTCCACATATTGCATAGCCTTGTCCTCGTGTCTGTGTGCCTGAGCCCCTCACTTTTCTGTAGGATCATTAGTCTTGCATGTCTGCAAGCTGCCTTTTATTGCCATCCTTCCTGAGTGGGGCTTGGCTTTGTTTTGGAAAGACATCTCCAAGCAGGAATTCCCTGCTTTTTACCAGATTGGGGACACTTCTGGGCTTTTGTATGATGCTATTTAATGAGCCCAAGTCTTAGGGACTCAGCAGGCAGGAGCTTCTGGCCCAGTGGGACATCTGCTGGTGGTCTGTAGGTGGACCATGTCTCCCACAGGTGACCTCAGCCTGAGGGTGTCTTCAGAGGTGGACACATTGGTCAGCCAGTTGCCTCAGATGCTACTGCAAGTCCTGGGGAGATGTCGCTTCCATGCTGCTTCCATCCACATACTGGGATTTCCCGATGACAAATCAAGAAATAAAGGCAGTTTGTTTCCCCTCTGTGGCTCTTTCTTCCTTAGGGGGATGGGGCCAGTGTTTCAGCATTGCTGGATAGAATGAGGGGTCTTAATTCAAGTCTGTTTCCTGAACTGCAGACGCTTCTAGAATGTGGAAGCATTCCAGCTCCCTCAAGGACAAGGCAGGAAACCGAGGTCCAGAGATGTAGTAGGACTTGCCTGAAGTCACAAAGCCCTGTCTTGCTAGCCCAGCCCTGTCCTCAGCCTTGTTTTAGAATCTTGTTTAGGACAGGATGGAGAGCCAGTATTACCCTTGGCCCTGGCCAAGAGAGGCCCTGTCTTGGGCCCCACACAGTGGAGGGCACCACTCTGGCCCTACTCTGGCCATGACTCCACCCACAGGGTGAGAAGTCTATGGGGCTGAGGTGACATGCTCACGGAAGCTTGCTCACCCCTCTCCTAGACCATGCTCCAGGTACCCAGGAAACCACAATTCCCCAGCCAGTGGTGCTGAGCCTGCCTCCAGGGCCTGAACAGGCCTCTTCCCCATGTCTGTTCCCCCGAGCATGACCTGTGCGCACCTCTACGCCTGAGCAGTGGTCGGGGAAAAGCTGTCATAAGGGGTGTAATGCTAACTCTGTGATGTGGGGAACAGGTTTCCATGAACAGAAGTGGGCGCCTTGCCCAGGGACCCCTGTAAGTAGGTCAGGCAGCTACAGAATAGATATCCAAGAGCTCCCCGGTGCCAGATAAATGTTTCCTGAGATAATTTGCTGGTCCAGGAGGAAGTCGTGGTGCTACAGCGTGGCGGGAAGAACACTGAACCGGGAGTCCCTGGGTGTATACTTGGTTCACCACTTCTCACAGCCTCAATTTCTTCAGCTGAAAGAGATTTAGACAAGGGATGAATTTTCTTCAAACCCTAACAGCTTGTAAGTGTGGACTCTGTCCTCCAGCTCTGACAAGGCATGCACTAGGAGTGGTGATGGATTATCTCAACTTCACCTGAGGCTGTCTAATGGCGTGGCTGAGAATGTGACAGGGTCTTCAGAGATGCAGTTGGTCACCAAAGGGGGCTATGCTAGTCCAGATGCTTTTGCTGGCAAGAAAGAGAAAATCCAAACTGAATACCACAGGGTGGTATTTATTGGCTCATACAACTTGAAAAATCCAGGCCTGGGGTGGAGATCAGGCATGGTTCAATCAAGGCCCTCACTCCATGTCTCTGCTATCCTCTTAGCTATTTGCATCTCTCCGTTAATTTGATCCCTATGGTGGTTGTGAGTTAACTATTGTAGTTTCATGCTTACATTTGCACTATGCAATATCTAGAGGAAGAGAAAACATCTATTCCAGTGGCTCTCAAGAAATCCTCTTCCAGAAGCCTCCAGCAAATCTTGCCTTGGGTCAAGATTTTGGGTCACATGCCTATTCCTGAACCAATATTTGTTCAGAATAATGAATATTTGTCAGAATGGCACCTGTTTATTGAATTAGAGCTGGGTTACAGAACTCCTGGTGGCAAAGGTTATAAAATTACTCTTAGCCTGTCCCCTGGGGATTCTCCAGAAGCACATAGACTGCAAGGGGAAGGTGTGGCTACTGGACTGAATATTGGGGAGCGAGAATAGGGGGAATGGATGCGGCGTTCACACAATGTTCATTACAGTGGTTGTCTCTCTGGTTTTGCGTCTCCTTTTGGCAGGAATAGGTGCTGAGCCATTTGGGACAAGCATTTGGGAAGAATGTCCACACCCAGAAGGCTCTTGGCTAATTCTGTTTGCTCCGCTCAGAGAGGTTGACTCTCATAGGGTGCCATAGGCCAGGAAAGATGTGGTGTAGTTTGTGGAAAAAAGCAGAAGATTGGATTCACAAATCTGGATTTGAAGCATGGCTCTGTCACTAACTCGCTATTTAATTATCCTGCATAATTTACTTAATTTCTCTGAGTTTCAGTTTTCTCATCTGTAAGCTGGGAATAATAGTACCTTATTTCAAGGTTGTGATGAATTTTTGTGATAATATGGTTAAAATTTCTGACACCTAAAACTGTTTAGGAAGTGTTGAATTTTATGTGTCATTATTGTTACTTAGTGGCTCTTTGGGGACCTAGGAGTGTTTTTCTTCCCCCTTTGAGGCTGGTTACATGAGTTCACCCTTGACAGCAGTTTGGACCACTGCCTTTATTGCAAAGCAGTAAAAAGAGCAGTGGTTCCCACCCTCTGCTATGCCTCAGCCCATCTGACACACGCCAGTGGGGATAAAGACGCTGACAAAGTTAGGTCTTACTGACTTGTGGCAGGGAGACCACATGCCAGAGGAACAATGGGCATCTCATCAAACCAAGAAAGGCAAGATTGTGATAGGAATTGGGAAGGGATGGAGTTTAAGAGAATGGAATGGAGCAGTGATGGGACAGGCTCAAAGCAAAGCAGGCATCAGGCCTGGGCTGCAAAATGGACCCAGGTCCTCTTTCTTTGGAGACATGGAGTTAGATAAATATGGAGTGTTGTGCCCGAAAACCCCTATCAGAAGTTCTGCATCTAGGTTGGAAATTGAAACTGCTTCTTTGTGTCAAAGTGAGTCACCAGGCTCAGACGTTCCAGGCAAGAGTGGAATGTTCCCATTCTTATTGATGGGATTTCAAACTCTGAAGTTTTGACAGCCTGTGATTTTAGTCTCAAAGTTTCACAGTGATTTTTTTTTTTTTTTTCTGGTGGGGGGAGTAATGAAGTGAGGCTGGGAATGTCATTGGAAAGAAAGCAGTAGTCACTCCAAGAAAGGAGTGATTAGGGCACTTTGCAATAGCAGCAATGACCTTGGGTTAACCTTGCAGCTGGGTTTTTCAGTGTCAGCTATGGCAGTCTGAAGAATGGCAGGGGCACAGGCTGGCTTTTACTCTCTTAGTCTAGACTGATTGTTTCACTTTTCCAGACTGGTTGCAATGCTTTCACCAGTTAACAGAGGCCCAATCTCTGCTCAACTGATGCCCACGGATCCAGCCTGTTGCTGAGATTCTCTAGGTCAGACCAGAAGCTCTTACCATAACCAGGGAAGTATGGGGATAGAGTTTGGCCCTAGGAATCTTCTCTATCCAACTGCAAAGCTGTTTGAGTGACAAATTTGTAAGCAAAGTAAGGCCTTTGAAGGAAGCTTGGTAACTAGTACTTACAAACCAGTGTCTGGGAAGGTAGTAGGACAAAGTTTCTGAGTGTCTCCAGGGACAGACGCACAGGGCATCAACCATCACTCTAATGGGCACAGAGGGCACATGTGGGTCAACTTGCTAAAGAATCTCCAAAGCTCATTGTAATTAATGGGCCAACCTATGCCCTAATGACTGCTTTACTGGAATTGGCTGGCCCCATCCCTCCCCCACAGTAGAGTAAGCCAATTTAAATTTTTAATGAAACTCAGTTCTTCCACTTGTGTGGTAACAAGCAGCTCTCAAGTCAAGGACCTAGGAGACTGTTACACATGAGCACCCCACTGTTACCACACGTGGGCCCAGAGGCTCCAGGAGCATGGTTTATTCTCCTGCATCTTCACTTGTAACCACTCTAACAGGTGCAAATGCACAAGAGTGAAGGACCAAGGACTCCCCACCCCCACCTCTTCTAACCCCAGCTGAGAAACAGAGCAAGAGAACTCACAACACCTTTGTCTGAGGGGCTTTCTCTCTGGGGCTTTGCCCTGAGTTTTCAGTCCAGACAGTTGACTTTTAGAATCTGACAAATCTACAAGAAACACAGCCTTGCTAAAGGAAAAAATTAGCTATTTCTTTTGCTCTGTTTCCCCTCGCC